CTGGCTTCGGGGTGGCTGGCGTCCAGCCCGCCGCCTCCGGCGGTGAAGAGTGCCCTGGCCCGGGTGCGGCTGCTGCGCTGCCTGCACCCGCCTTCCGCGCCCCACGGCCCCCTCGGCCCCCTCGTTGCGAACCCAGGACCAGGCTTTGATGTTAAAAATACATAGCAGCGAACCCGAAGATGAGATGAGACCTCCCAGCAGAGAACACCAGCGTCCCGGTTCTCCCGGGCCCCTCACCGCGAGGCCTTGCACCGGCCGCTCCTCTGGCCGAAACCCCCTCACCGGGGCCAGTTGGTGCCCACCGGCCGTGTCGCGGCCTGGCTGAGCCGCTTCACACCTCTGCCTTTCACCTAGTCTGTTGCTACAGTGTTTTTCTACCCAGAGGTCATCCCCCCCCACACACACACACAGAGGCTCGTGTCATTGAAATACCTGTGGACCCCGTCAGAACCTCGTCAGAACCTTCAGTGCCCAACGCGGGCTCACTTGTCTTAATGGCTGCATCTGTTTTACTACGGTGGTAATTTATTTTTCTCTTTTCCTGTTGGTATAAACGTGGGTTCTTTCCAGCCTTTGTAATAACATGCAGTGTTAATTATCCTGCATAAATAACTTTGGACCCAAGTTGGAATATTTCTGTAGGCCACATTCTTATTTTGTAGGATTTTATGTACACCTCTGGTGCAGGCCAGAGGAGCAGGGGTGGGTGAGAGGATCTATTGAAATTCACTGCTGAGGGGAGCAGCAGGTGAGACGGGAGAGATCTGCTGGGCCATGTGGGTCAGTCCCTGGTGGCGATACAACTCAGGCCATCCGGCTAGTGCTGAGACTTAACCCCTATGGCACCAGGGAGGCGTGGAGGCCGTATTCTTTAGTACACAAGTGCTTGGTCAAAGGGCATTCCAGGGCCTTTCCTGGTGGCCCAACGGGTTAGCGCAACACTACGAAGCTGGCTGTCGCCACTGCAGCACCAGTTTGATCCCCAGCCAGGGGGTGGCCCACAGGGCGCAGCAGACCTCTCCTGTCTCCCTGCTGCACCCCTCAGCAGTGTACTTCGTCCATCTACCTGTTCTGCTCCCCACTCTGTCTCTGGTGAAGCCTCTCGCGGCTCCTGCACCTCTGGCCTGTACCCCAGTTCTGTATTTATACATAAACAAATCTTTTAAAAACAAAAATAGGGCATTCCGTAGATTTCTTAATGGGTAAGTGATCTCTAAACTGTCACCAAATGCCTCTCCCCTGCCACCATCCCTGCTGGGTCTTGCAGATCTGTAGGGGGAAATAGCAGTTCATTGTAACTGTGTTTCTAGACATGTAGGGGAACTTTGTAACACTTTTGTCAGATTTATTTTACGGTGATCATTTTTACCACTAGTAATCATGTTGAAAGTGCCTACTTAAAGCTCTTTGTGTTTCATATACTTTGTCCTTATTTCAATTGGGTTGTTGGCATTATTTTTTATGTATGCATCCAGAACTGGGGTACAGGCCAGAGGTGCAGGGGCAATGAGAGGAGTCACCGGAGATAGTGGGGAGCAGAGCAGGTAGATGGACTGCAGTCCACTGCTGAGGGGAGCAGCAGGGAGACGGGACAGATCTGCGCCATGTGGTCGGCTCCCTGTCTGGGGATCAGTCCCGTGCAGAAGTGGCTGGGAACAGCGTTGTAGGGCTGTCAGGGAGGGCCCTGTGTTACTTTCTAGGGGCGCTTTACATATTAAGGAGGTGAGCCAATTGGGTGCTATGTTTAATCCGTGCTTGGTCTTTGAGTTGGGTTGTATTTATTTCATCATGTGGCCTTGTGGGGATATGAGAAACTTACAAGAGTCATCATTGTGGCGCCAGCACGTGCACAGATCTACGGGTGCACAGACCTGGGCTGTGCAGAGGGCCACCCGTCGCCGACGGCATGGTTGGGCAGCGCGGCCATCTTTACTTTCGCCAGGCCTTGAAATCATTATTAGTCATTGTTGCTTTTCTCGTTTATGGTTTCTGTGTTTTGTGTCATGCTTCGAAACATCCCGAGCCCAAGATCGTAAGACGTAAGACGTGTAGTAATTTCCCGTGGAAATGTAACGGTTTTCTCTTTTCCACAATACATGTACATTTTTGGTGTCATTTCAGAGGTTGCATCTGAGGAGGGGTGAGGTAGGGGGCCCAGCGGCTTTTCCCACATCATTGGCCCCAGCATGTCCCTAGAAAGCCGCCTGCCCTGACCCAAGTGCCGCCTTGGTCATGTGCTGAGTGTGAGGGTGTTTCTGGGCCCCATTGTCCCCCCCCACACACCCCTGCTGTTTTCATCACTGAAGTCTGGAGTCCTCTCCCCTGTCCCCCCGTTGCCCTGTCTGTCCTCTTCTGGACACTAGGCCTGGTTCCCCCATCCTGACTTCCACTTGGTTAGAAGTGGGGGTTGCTTAGTTAGATTCATAGATTAAGTGGGAGCAAGGTGTCATCTTAAAAAGCAGTTTATGCCTTGAATGTATGTCATGTCATACTGGCTTCGCAGGACAGCACGATAGCAAGGGTTCTGGAAATGGAGGTTTTGGGGATACCCCTTCCTCCCGCAGCCGCAGTGCCCGGCGTTGAGCTCGGCTTGAGGTGTCGGCTCTGAGCAGACATAAACTGGTTTCTTCAGCAGTGCTCGCTGTGTGCCTGTCCGCTGCCCGGGGGAGGGGGGTGTAAACTGAGGCAGGCTCGTGGCCATTGCTTCTCAGGCCATCCAGCCCGCGAGTCTGGGGACTCACCCCCGCCTTTCGCAGTGTCCCCTGTCTGGAGGCACAGAGGGGCAGGGCGGGGAAGTCAGTGGCACATTCCATGACGCCTGTCTCTCTTCCCTGCCGCTTGGTATGGCCTGTGGGCCAGCCTGCCTGGGATGAGGGCCAACTTTCAGTTCTCCATTTTGTGAATTTTCCAGGACATGTGTTCTCACTGGCAGTTTCTCCTGCTGTGGCCAAGCGCTCACTCCCTGGCGGGTGCTCCATGTGGGACCTCGGGTCTTCCCTACAACTTTTTGCCTACCCCATATGGGGGCCCCTGGGTCCAGGCAGTCTTTCAGGCTCTGTTCCGTGGCCTGGACGCCTCTGGTACCCAGAGACCCAAAGCTGGGTGTGCGGGGGTGTGTTGGCAGCAGGGGTGCTGAGTGTGGTGGGCCGGCCTGCCTCAGTGTGGGTGCCGCTCACCCCAGGCCTCCTCTCCTGGGGCTGAGCCTAAGTACAGGCGGCCTCCTTGTTGAGCCCCTAGCACCTAGGGAGTGCCCATCCTCGGGCACCTGCTGGCTTCATCCCATTAGGCTGAACCAGTGGCGCCCACCGCACTAGCGCGGCCCATCCCCCTGTGACCTCCCCGTAACAGAGCTTGGGGCAAGGATGGTGGTTCTGTCCCCTCCTCTGGCCCTGGTGGCTGTGGCTGTGTGAGGCACAATTGGCCAGCAGTGGGTACCACCTCCCAGGGCACGACACCTGTGTGAGGTGTGGTGACTCCTCTGGGGCAAGCCCTTGACTATATTTTCCCGGTCAGGGTGCTCAGTTAACCAAGGGAGTCCATCAGAGAGGGTGCTGGGCCTGGGTGCGGGAGCAGAGAGGTTCAGGACTCGGGGTCTTGGGACACAAGGTATGCACCTGTGGGATGGTGACTCCCTCAGCAGGTGCCAGCCTAGCTTAGGGTGGGTGAGGGGCAGGGGCAGGAGTGTCCACTGCATGGGCAGATAACAAGTAAGACCTCAGGGGCAAGGCCTGGCTACAGTCCCTTGCTGGGAGTGGGGTGGGCTGCGCTCTGTAGCCCACCCCACCTGGCTAGTCAGAGGGCTCTGAAGTGGACTTGCAGCAGATTTCTTCGGCAGATCGTGTGGGAACCAGAGGAGCTTGACACGTGTGGGTGCACCTCTTACCTGGCAGCTGAGTCCCTCCAAATGGCATCTGCCAGCCACCACTTCCAGGGGTCCTGGACCCAAGGTGGAGCTCTGGGGAAAGGTCTCCCGCATGGAAGGGAACAAGTGACACCCACCTGGTTGGGGCCTGTCCTGCCGCCTCCCTGGGTTAAGGAGGGGGCCCAGGGCCCCTCCAGCAGCTCCTAGCTGAGGGCTTCCCGTCCTAAAGTTATGACCTGCAGGCCCACTTAGCCTGCTGTGCCAGCCTGCCAGCACCATAACCTCCTTGTCCTCCAAGCAGGGGAAGAAAGCCACGTGCCCACTGTCCGGCCAGGCCTGGCTCAGGGCCCCTGCTGGGCTGGTGTCCCTTGTCTCACCCCGGGTTTTCCTGGCTGCTCATCCTCCCTTGAGAGATGGCCTGATGGTCCAAGGTAAGTAATCAAAATAGACATAGTTCCATGCCAGGCAGTTGCACTGGTCCATTTCCTGCAACACCCCCCACGGCCCTCCCCGGCTTCCTGGACTCCTCCAGAGTCATTGCTGTGAACTGGCTGGCTGGCAGAAATGACTGTGTTATACTCAGATACAGGTGACAGCAACGGGTGGGGCCTGTTCCCACCTGCTCTTCCATCCTGTGTCCTGCTTCCCCGAAACTAGGTAACTCCAATCTAGGATCTGGGCTCCTTTCTCCCAGCGCAAACAGTGTGACAGACACAGTTGTGTCCTTGCGAATATTCTCTGAGTGTCTTCTCAGGAGTGGGGTTGCTGGGTACATTAAAGCATTGCCAAACAGCGTGCTGGGTGGTGCGAATCCACAATGCTTCGACTGCACACGGCTGCTTCCGTGCGGCGCTGTTACCACTAAGTCACTTCACTCTTCACGATTGCTTTTAACTTTTTCATTTGGGATTTACAGAAAAGTTGAAGACAGCAGAGTCCTACCTCCCTCTCACCCAGTGTCCTGCATCTTGTGGAAACCAAGGAATTGACTCATGAACATCCCTGTTAATGGGGCCCCGGGTTTATTCCAATTACCAGTTTTTTTCACCAAAACCATTTCCTGTTCCCAACCCCACGTGGCCTTTAGTCATCGGCTTTTTTAGTCTCTTCGGATCGACACTTCATTCTCCTCTGGTTTTTCCTGATGTTGACTGTTTTGAGGACGGGTCTGGTGGTTTGCAAAATGTCTCTTCATAGGCCTTGTTAGTCTCATAGACTGGGGTTGTGGGTCACACACACACGCTGGGACACCCTGTCCATACCCCTGCGGGGTCCTTGCCGCCCACGTAACAGCTGAAGTTCTCTCGAGGTTGACTCAGCCTGGCGGAGGTTGCGTCCCCCCATCTGCTTAGAGCTCCCCTTTCTCTGCTTTGTATTGAGTCCTGCCCACACTTGGCAGGGGGCATTTACTTTAAAAATAATTTTTCATCCAGAAAAAGGTAAAAGGACAAATGCCCGCAGTGGCACACAGAACATAGATACCTACTGACATTCAAAGAATTAAATAAAGTGAACGTGAATTTTTTTTACATTTTTTTATTATAATAGTTTATTTTTACATCATTTTGTAGGATTTTTTAGAAAGTGCAAAAAGTATGCTTAAACTATTCCAATGAAAAGTAAAGTCATCATGATCTTGAAAAGACACCCGCCTCTGTCCAGCCTGGTCCCAAGGGCCCCGGGGTCCTGGCTGAAGCCCTCCCTGGGCCTCGTGCTGCCATCAGGGGCAGGCCCCGGTAGCTCCCACTAACAGGTGAGGAAACTGAAGAAAGGGGCTGACCTTGAGGTATCTGGGCCGGACACCACCGTGTCAGGGTTGTGCCTGCCCAGGCTTACCTGTGACTCCCAACAACCACGCTGCCCCAGCCCAGCCTCCAGAAGCCACTGGGAGTGAGGCCCACTGGTGGAATGACGGGTCCTGGTATCTTTCTTGTCCTGGCGCCAGTGTGTGGACAGTGCTTCCTGCCACTTCCAAGGCTGGATGCCACCCCTGAGTGGTGAGCAGAGGCTGAGCTGTGAGTACCCTCCAGTGCTGTCGGGTGGGGTGGGGTGGGGTGGGGGGAAGGAGAAGCTTTGAGGGCTGTTGAGATGGTGTGGGTGTGTCCTCCTTACCTAGACCTTCAAAGGCACAGGGGCCCAGGCTGCAGGGCACTGAGAGCCCCCTGGACAGTGTTCATCCAGAGCAGTTCAACAGTCAAATGAAACCCCCGGGGCTGCATGTCACCTCTGCCCCAGAACACCCCTTGCCCCTCCCCTTTCCTTTGTCAGCTAAGAGTGCAGCAGGCTTTGCGCACCGCTGGGGCACCGGAGAAGCCTAACACCAGCAAGGACTATAGGCCTAGGGGACCCGAAGGACCCCGGGGCGTGGCCAGCCTGGGGGCGCCGGGGCGGAGCCGGGTAGGTCGGTTAGCAGGGGTTGCAGGTGGAGGTCCCGAGATGAGGCCAAGTCCAGGGTGACAGTCGCAGTCTACACCCAGCCCTGGATGGCCAAGGAACGGACTTGAGTGACAGGCACCCGCCCGGGAACGCTGTTCGCCCAGGCAGCTCTGCCCCCTGGAGGTCACTGCAGCCGCTGCACGGCCCCCGCCGCCCGGCTCCGGACGGGGTGGGGGCGTGGTCGCCACGCTGGGCGGCACCCATCGTCCCGTCCTACTTCCTACTTCCGCAAGCCCCCTTCCCCTCCTCTCCGCCTTCTCCCTCGCGCCCCGGCCCTGGACCCGCGAGGCCGGCCCAGCCTGGGCATCGACGTCCTCACCGCTCTAGCAGCTCTAAGACTTGGCCGGGACGTGCCCGGGGGCTTCGAGAAGCCCAGCTGTATCGACTCCAGCCCCAAGGATCGCTGCCCGGAGCCGGGAGCCGAAGTGCCTGAGTCCCGGGGCCCGATAGGGTCAGCGTGCCCTGCCTCACCGAGATGCCCCCTCAGTCCACTGGCCCAGTCCTCCCCACCCCCAGCGAGACGCGCACGAGTGACTTCCGAATAGGTGCAAAAAGAGGAACGAAGGCGCGGCAGATCCGGCGGTCGCCGCATTCCCCGTGCTGCGCCGGGCTGCACCCGGTGCCCAGGCCGGAGAGGCCATGCGGGGTTCTGCGAGGTCGGGGAGCTCCAGAGAAGGGGGCGAGAGGGCGTAGTCCAAGCCCGGCCCCAGGCCGGTGAAGAGGAGCGGGGGGAAGGGTCGCGCACGTGGCCGGGGGGCGGGGCTGGCTGCTTCCACCCCCCCCAGCCCGGGCCACGTGGGGTGCCCTCCCCCATCACGAACGGGGGCGCGCCCTGGGCCTACATGGAAGCAGTGGCGAAGGGGCGGGCTCTCGCTGACTGCGCGCCCGACTGTGGGGTGGGCGCGCCCATGAGGAGGTGGGGCGCGCGCCGAGAGGGAGGGAGGGATGCGCCGAGGGGGGCGGGGCCGCCCGGGGAGGGAGGGGAGTGTCGGGACGGGGCGGGGCGCACCCTGGGGGGGCAGGCTGGACCGGGGGCGGGGCGGAGCCTCCCGGAGTGAGGAGGGGGCGCCTCATTCGCGGTGCAAGAGGAGGGGCGCGACGGGCGGGGGCGGGGCCTCCGGCGATGCGGCCGGGCGTGGGGAAGGCTGGACCGGGCGCGGGGGCCAGCGGGGAGCGCAGGGCTCGGCAG